TATATATATATATATATATATATATATATATATACACACACACACACGCACACACGAGATGCTCACCTATTGCCGCTGAGGTTGATGGGGGTAAACAAGGTGCGTGGCGCAGGAATCTGCTGGTTAATGTTCCACCAGTCATTCGATACCAGATAGCTGCTGGGTGAGAACGTTGGTCATTTTCCTTGTGTCTCTTCTCAACCGCTAGAATTTTTAATCCTGCTACAGTCTGGTGAGCTAAATCATTGCTTATGTATCTATCTTCTTCACGCATCTGAACTAGTCGTGTGTAAATTTTGCAGGTGTGTACAGTATAATTATCAACTATGGGTTACGGAAGTGGAATTTGTTCTTCGAGAACTATATAGCTTGCTGAGTCTAAGGGATTTCTTGGTTGATATTTACAAATCATCATTATCATCATAATTTTTCAAGTGAATGATTATTTCACATTTTCAGAATGATATGCATGTGTGGTAAATGGTCAGTTCTTAAAGAGCCGCTAAAAGTGAATTTTCATGAAGTTTAAAAACCTGCATCCCGTATAGTTCACATTGATGTATATATAATGTATATCGTATACATGCATTGTCTATATTCAAGCTGAATTAGTGTGAACCTGTTTGACGACTTTACTGAATATCTATCTATCTAAATTTTAAGTTTTCCTCCTACACCACTGTATAGGTGGTGGCCGGTAATAAAGTCACAGGAAAAAAAGTCACAGGAAAAAAGTCACAATTTTGGCTAAGAAAAAAAGTCACAATTAATTTATGGTGGCCGGTAATAAAGGCACAAGAAAAAAGTCACAATTTTGGTTAAGAAAGAAAGTCAGGTAATCAAAAAAAATATTCAAGTCAGTCACAGTTTATTTAAGTACCATAAACAATTAAAGTAATAAAACTGAAAATATTTTAATTCAGTTATTAACTGGTAATACATTGACAACACTATTTATATATGATGGCATTACATGTATGTGAAAACAAATCACGTTTTGTTCAATATCTTAAGCACAGTAAGGTAATCAAACAAAAATATTTTAGTCAGTCATTTATTGACAGTACATGACTTACCTTAATCCTTCCAGGTTGATGTTGACCGATTATACAAAGAATCTAATGTTTTGGTTCTATTTTATAATTTTTAAGCGAAACTCATTAATTTACCATCAGTTCTGCATATTCCTTTACTGAAATTGATTGACATATTAACCTTAAAAAATGTGAGAATTCGATAGTTAACTTTTCTTTTTTTCCTGTGACTTTTTTCCTGACTTTTTTTCTGTGACTTTTTTACCTGTGACTTTTTTACCTGGATTCGTATAGGTCTCACTGCCTGTACGTGCCTTTATAATTAGACGTAGTCTAGCATTATTTTTTACCAATTGACCAAAGAGTAGTGGCGTTGGAAGACAAAGAACTGTAAATGTAGACATTGGGAAATTCTAGATTTGTAAAGCATTATAAAAAAAATAATCTTAATGAATGAAATAGAAAGTAATGAAAACCTCGCGAAACAGTTCAATCCTGATCTCCCAGGATAAGAATAAATGGCTGAGGGTGAAATATGAAATTGTTCCACCCTGAGTATTACACCAGAGCAACTAATGTAGTGTTGTGTGCCCTAGTTGTTGGTTCCAGTATAAAAAAAGCCTCATCACACTTACTCATTTTGTTCAATATTCAACAGATAATAATGCAATTCAATCAGTCTGCACGACTCATGAATTCGAGAAGCAGGAAAAATAACGCATGGTCTTATTAATGCTTAAAGGAGTAGTGGTGCACTTAAGTACTGTATTTTATTCTGGCTGTGATGATGGCTGAGTTTTTCCGAACCATGACGTGTGTGTATCACAATAATGGCAGTGGAAGAGAGGTATTGTAATGGAATATGTAATGTCCATCACCTCAACACGCACTGCGAGAATTATATTGCCTATCTAGTGCCACCTGACTAACGATTCTCAGACCCTCACCTTTTGCTTTCGTACTGGGAGTGGGGGAATACAGTACATCAAATTGTGTGTGTGTGTATGGTCAGTATTGTACTGTAGTAGGTCTACCACATAATTATTCAGGAGTGCGGATGTGCTCACCGGTGTGCATAACTATAGTCTTACAACTTTATAGTTAAAACATGCATTGATTAATGACCACATATTTGTAATGCAATTATTCAGTTCTGGGGCATATTGAGTATTTGTCATAACAGTTTTCATAATAGCATTACGAAATAGTGGTAAGCATGTTTCTGTTTTCTTGTTATTTTCTTAATGGGTTGATAAGCACACACACATTTAACCTTTTTTATAACAGTTATGCAACATTAAATTGCAATGCGGATCAAGGTAAAAAGTAGCATTTCTGCTACGTTATAAAATTTTGAATATTATGTATATTTGATACATCCACACACAAGGCTAAATATTTTACACCATTAGTGCAGCAGCAGGGGCGGATCCAGGAAGTTTTGGGTGGGGGAAACATGGTGAGCAAAGCGAGCCCACAGCATTTTGAGGCCATTATGAGGCCATGTGCACTTAATATTTGGTGATATTCTGAGGTCAATAGTAATTACTTTTTACTATGCAAAAATGCCTGAGTACACTACTGCATTAAAGAAAAAGTATTGGAATTTCTTGATGAAAAGGGGGGATCTGGACCCCTTAGGACCCCTCCCTGGATCTGAACTTGAGCTAGAATATTATATGTTCCTTGAGTGCACCTCCATGTGTTGATGAAAATAGCGCGCCATCTGTGTTATGAGCAGAAACAATGCTGACGGGGTTTTCGACAAACTTTTGATTTGTGCATAAACTGTGGAGGTTTGTAGTTTCTAATCTTACCTAGACAGGTATACAGCGATTTCACCAATAATAGCCGACAAAACCATATCAGATGCGTACTTCCAGTAGGGTCATTTGTATAGGCTTGGTAGTAGAACTACAGTAGTTAAGTTAATAGTTTTTTTTATCATTGTAACACGCATTACATTGCTCCTGGACGGATCAAACTTAACACGTGACAGCACCGAGTGTGAGCTCATTCAAGGCCAGACTTACCAACATTGGTGCAGGTATGGATACATTCAGGAGCAGTGGAGACAGTACAAGAGAGGCTAACGAGCCTCTAAGTTACAAAGAGGATATAAGTAAAATAAAATACGGTAATTTATAAGGAAACCGCTAACACCAGAAATTGTTCGATTTCGTTATTTTTTTCCACAGGAGTTCTTATAATTATAGTAAGTATTTTCAGAGGCGATAACTTTTTATTTTAATTATAATTTTTTTTATCTATCTACCATCATAACTCACCTGTAGTGGGCAGGGTATGATGGACGAGGGAAATTGCTGGGTAAAACAAGGTTAAAACCGATAATATGACAAATGATGTCTCCACGTGGTTTGTATGTGAAGAAAAATGTGCCGAGTCATAAGTTCATAACGTCTGTTTGTTTACAATTGAACAACTCGTTCTGGTGGTAGAGGTGTTCTCATGCACTACTAAAGCACATATACTGTAATACCGTCAACAACATTACTCTAGGAATTTACACTACAGTTATAATGTACAATTATAATCATCAGTCCAAGGGTTTACCCTCTCAGTAAAATCAGGCGTTAGCCAGAAATAAACCTTAAGTGTGGTCATGTGCTGAAGCAATTAGGGAAGATATATATACATATATATATATATATATATATATATATATATATATATATATATATATATATATATATATATATATATATCTTCCCTAATTGCTTCAGCATATGACCACACTTAAGGTTTATTTCTGGCTAAGTCAGTTCAGCAACCTGGGATTTGGTCACAATTTTCGTGATGCCATATGGCAGCAGGGTCTACCATTAGACAACACATTATGCTTCCAATATCTTCCCAGGCGGTAGTACCTCCCTGTTTGGTAGCTGCCTACTACATACTACTTACTAAAGTGTATTAAAGTGCATTACTGTTACTATAAACTATAGAATTTCAATTAGACATGAGATTTTTGCCCGCACTACCAAGTTCACATAGAAACCTTGTAAGGGATCTGGTCATGGAAAATAAAATTCTAATTAGTATGGGAACATTGCAGCCATCTGACATTAAATGATACATTTTTCTCACATCTAGGTACAGTATTGGAAATAAAATGAATGTCAGTGCATTTGCATTGCCTTGCGCCTTGTGTGTTGCTGTCTGCTATTCCTCTACTCTTCAACTGTCACAACTTGCAGGTGAGTATAGTACAGTACTGTGCTGCATATAAAAATTATGTACAATTATCATATTTTAATTTTCATTCTACATGAAATATTTTTTTTTATATTACATAATTTTAAAAACTTGGTTACAGTATTATAGTAGCTACAGGTATTACTGAATTGTAGAACAGAATACCTATACAGTATTGCATATTTCAACTATTGTAGGTATTGTGTGTTAAGGACAAGGATGCCTCACTGTACACATTGATTGTACAGTACCGGCCATTGACCGAAAATGAGATAAAGACAAATGTTGATCAAAAGCTTAACTAAGTTTAACATGTGTAAAAACGTAGGTCAGTGACTTAGTTTTGCTGTGATCAATAGAATATCAAGATACAGTACAGTACATTACTTTACCTGGCGTGTTTGAGGAAAGGTAAGTTATATACAATACAAAATTTACCAACAAGCAACCTAATTAGAGTAAAAATGTCAAAATACTGTATTGGTCACAGTGATGTAATATTTATGGTGCTGTAGTACAGCTACTCCGCGAAATGTACTCGTATGTATTAAGTGTTATGAATTCATAACCAGTGTAGCGTGTGAGGTATACAGGTACAGTCGAACAGACAGGTTAGGGTAACATATGCCCTTTGTACATTTTTTGTTGAGCATAGAAATGCATAGATCAATGAATTATACAATATAATGAATACTATAAGATAGTTCTTATTAATGGTACCTGTATGGAATTCCTCAGTAAGACGTGAGGTGCTGGCAGGTACAGGAAGAGCGGTGGCTGCTGTGCTGAATCATACCTGGCACACGGCCTGTTCACTCATCCTCCTGACAGATGGCGCCACTTCTCACATCACCATCTTTAAGGTATTCTATATTAAAGGAAATTACAGGTATTCAAATAAAGTACTGTCGTAGGTTTGTGGTACAGGACAAATACAGCGATTGATTATTTTACAACTCAATGAATGTGCTGTGTTAAACTTTCTACCATATGGGTGAATTACTTATCAGTCTTAATCTTCTTGACCCTTTCTGCTAATTCGCTTTATTTAGGCTTTTTAATCTCTTTTCTACTTGTATAGTGGCGATAAACTTCAGGTGAGATCCTCTTTAGTGTTCTTCCAATTTTTTTCTTCTCTATTTAGGTTATTTAATATCAGTACAACAATATCTGGCCAAATTTAACTTTCTCACCGGTCTTTGTTTGGACATTAAAAATATGTTTGCCCGATGATATTTGATGACTTTCGAGCGAATTTGATATTCATTTCAACCGGAAATCAATAGTTTTGGAGACCCTCCCCCACCCATCAACCTTAACGAAAATGTAATTTTTTTTCCGAGTAAATCACAAATAAAATACCAACCAACCAACAAAACAAAACCTAACCTAACATAACAATATTTTTCTGGTGAAACTCTGCAATTGCGATCGTCACTCCACGAAAAACTATAGACCGGTGAGCCTGACCAGCATAATATGTAAAGTACTTGAGAGTTATTATCAGAGATGCCGCGATGGAACATCTACTACGAAACAACCTTGTAAAGGATTGCCAACACGGTTTTATGCCGGGGCGCTCCTGCTTAACACAATTGTTCAAGGTATTGGATATTTGGACCCATATTCTGGAACGGGGTGGTAACATCGACAACATATACCTAGATTTTGCCAAGGTTTTCGACAGTGTACTCCACGAAAGGCTGAAAATCAAACTGGAAGGGTATGGAATTCAGGGAAATGTCCTAGCATGGATAGAAGACTTTCTACATGACCGCAAGCAGTGTGTGGTGATTATTGGCATGAAATCATCATCTGTACCTGTGACAAGCGGGGTACCACAGGACAATGTATTGGGCCCACTGTTGTTTGTTTGTTTCATAAATGACATGCTTGACGTTGTACACTCCTCCATACAAATGTTTGCGGATGATGCCAAGTTATTTCGGGAAATTAAGAACCATGCGGACTGTGAAGAGCTGCAGAAGGATCTCTGTGAGCTCCAAGAATGGTCGAAGAAATGGCTGCTGAGATTCAATGTCACGAAATGTAAGAGGATGCACCTGGGGCGTACCAACGGTAAGGAGGGCGTATCATATGTCCAAACGGGATGAAGAAACTGCATTATTTGAGACTGAATATGAGAAGGACCTACAGTAGGTGTGTATGTTGACAATGTGCTGAAGTTCTCGGGCCATTGCGAGAAGAAGGTAAATCAGGCAAATAAATTATTGGGTCTTATAAGAAGGTGCTTACCCATCTGGAGTACTGTCCCCTCAACTACCCTGTGAGATTGGAGCGCCTGAACTTGCTTAGCTTATACTACAGGCGGGCAAGGGGGCGACCTGATTGAGGTGTATAAGCATCTCAAGGGGCACTACTCAGTCGAATGCCCTTACTTGGAGCTGGCAGACGCTCGCCCCACAAGAGGTCACAGCTCAAGATTGAAGAAGCAGCAAGTCCAGAAAACTGTGAGGGCAAACTTTTTCGGAGTGAGAGGTGTGAACTCTTGGAACGGTCTACCAGAGAGTGTTGTGACGGCACCGAGTGTGAGCTCTTTCAAGACCAGACTTGACCAACACTGGAGCAGGTTCAGGTACATTCAGGTGCCGGTGCATGCCCAGTACTTGCCAACAGTGCGTAACAGAGACGTGACCGATCGCCTAAGCGGCTAACGAGCCGTTCAGTGGTGAAGAGGATAAAATTAAAAGTAACGTAAAATAATCTCTATCACAATGTCAGCGCAGCTCTTTCCACCTGTTCAGCCATATCTGGTATTGAAAAATCAAATCTCCACTCCCGACGCACCCACGCATTGTTCATTGGCTAAGACAAAAAACTCTTGCCCAATTATAGGTGTCCTATCGCTAATGCCAATAAGAAACTCTCCCCCCTCCCCCGCGTTGTAGACGCTTAAGAAACCAGCACGGAGGTAAGGAACACTGCGTGATGGGTGGTCAGACCTCTGTGAGACGTAAACTACAAATGGCGACACTTGTGACTGACCAAATCTAATAATATTGAAAAATTAATATATCGCTTATCCTTAATTTTCGGCGGAAATAGCATAGACGAAAAAGGTCTTAGAATTGTCTAAACATTACGAAAAACATATTAATAACAGCGAGAGAAAGACCGGTGTATGACTGAAATTTCGCCCAATATCTTATACATCTCATTTTTTTATGAGTTGTCAACCCAACGAGACACACTGTACCCAAAAGTTTCATTTAATGTACAGGGGTCACTGCAGTATTATACCCTGGCAAAAATTAGGACACTGGAGAGATTATAGTTGGGTGGTATAGTGTATACCGTACCATACAGTATGTGCCTGAATTTAGTCCAGTATACAGTAAAGTAGACGTACTATTGTATGTAGTGATGGTTTATTTATCTTATAACAATAGACAACCGTCAGTAACATAATATGGTGTTCCTCTTCAGGAGCTGGATAAGCTGCAGTTTCCTGGAGGAATGGCAGTGTTTGAGGTGGCGCTGGACAGCCAGGATGTTAATGTGACACAGATGAAGTTTTCCCAGGTGATCCGTCACGCCCGGCAGGTAGGTTACTGTCACTCACTGTTGAGGTGGGGATGTCACATACATGAGAGTTAAGCGGTAAGGTGGTCTGTAGAAATACTGTTAAAGTGAGTGGATCATTCTAACACAATGGCTAAGTGTGAAAGTCATTCACACTATAGATGACAGGTCAGTACAGTACAGTACTTTATTTATTTATTTATTTTTATTTATGATCTATTTTTATTTATTTATTTTTTTTACGGGGAATACCCCACCCGGGCACAGGTCTTCGACCCACAACGAGGTCTGGGGGCGAAAAAATACGAGTAAAAAGAATTTAAAAATATAAAAGAAAACTATAATATTAATCTACACCACGAAGATGCCGGAAAACTTTGAAGTGAGACAGATTGTATGAGTATGGAAACACAGAAGGCAGAGCATTCCACAGTTTGGCTGTGTGAGGAAGGAAGGATGTACTATAACGGGTTATTCTAGTGTGACCGACAGCCACAGAGAAACGGTGGGCACCGCGGGCAAGACAAGTGTTACGAGCCCAAGGCCTTGCCGGCGGTACACAGGATGCCAAATCCACCGAACATTGCTCGTTAAAGTACCTGTAAAGGAGAGAGAGTGAAGTAGCATTGCAGTGAAGAGAAAGGGAAGAGAGATTATCAACTAAAGGAGGAGTGTTAAAAAGACGAAATGCCTTTGATTCCACCCTATCTAACAGTTAGGACGAATGAATCCCTTATTAACTTGAAGCAACTGCTCAGGAGTGAAGTAGTTATGGCATCTGTACAGCATTCCCAGCTTTCGGGAGGCAGCTTCAGCAATGTTGTGGATGTGCGGCTTCCATGACATATTAAAGGAAATGGTGAGACCTAGCATATCTATTATAGAATTTGGCGGAATGATTGTGTCCTGAAATGTGATTGGTGGAAGATCATCTAATTTGGAAAGTGTAAGTGGCAAATACTGTGTTTTATAACTTAGATATGTAGTTCACTTTCACAGTACCTGTACTACTTAGGTGGATGGAGAGGTTATTTTCATATGAATAGGCTGGCAGATAGGTTTATTAACATTATTATTATTGTGAGATGAGGCACTGCTGCTAAAGTGACCTTGTCATTCCTACTGCTGGTGAGGTGGAGAAATGTTATAGGAGCACAGCATTTATCTTATTGTTGAAAAGGGTTGATGGCTACTGTTAATTCTTTTCATGGGTAGGTGACAATCCCCGAACAGCACAGTACAGTACTGGTTACATTGGCAGGTTGGTGTCTGTATTGCTGAAATGAGAACATTAATTTCACATGACTCCCAGTGTGTTAATGTTAACAGGTGCGGCAGTTGTCAAGGTGTGTGACGGTAATGTTGGTGAGTAGTGACCAAGAGTTCCTCGCTGCATTTGCCGAGTGGTCCCTCAAGGGTCGCCTTCTAGTATGGTCAACACGGCTCCTCATCATCACTCAACAGCCATTACAGGAATTGAGGACCCTTATGTCCACTCACTGGACTTTTTCAATGTTGAATGTCATCCTGATAAACTTGGACATGGGTCAAGAATTAAGGTACACAATGTGACACTTATAATACGGTATTTTGATGGTATTTGAAATAATATTTTTTGTTGCTCGCATACAAGAAACACTCATAAAGATTATAATGAAGTAATTTGGTAAAGGTTTTGCTGTTAACTATTGTTTTCAACATTCATTTCCTTTTTTCAGAGACTTTGAGAGATTCCAAATTAATATTGTACTGTACTGTATTGTACTAGCATTTATAAAAGACACTGCACAGGTGCGGAGTGTACACTCACCTGCCGTACAGCCCCAAGGGAGCCAGGTTAGTGCGATTGGCCACATGGACAAACACCCAAGGACTTGTCTCCATCACCCGCATCCCAATATTTCCCAACAAGTTCTCCAAGTAAGTACTATAGTGTTACGACCCTATGGTAGATCGTTACATAAACACAAACTACTGAAGTCTTTCAAATATATCAGTATTTATTATTATATTCTTACTCCCAAGTTCTCCCAACAAAGGTCAAGTTAACAGGTCAAATCCTAAACAAGTCAATAAAAATATGAACATTTATTAAGTAATTCCCACCACCACCAAATATGTACATAAAATAGAATAAATAACAACAATAATAATAATATGACAAGATGTTTGGAAGTGGCTGAGTGAGGACTGAAGGTCCAACAAGATCACACAAAACCAATGTGAAGCAAAACAAATCTCAATAGTCAAATGCCAACTCCTATAACACCAGAGAGAGGGTAGACTACTTAACTTAAGGCAGCTGTGCCTAGACTGACTACCAGCCAGTCACCAGACAGCTGTGCCTAGACTGACTACCTACTACCAGCCAGTCACCAGACAGCTGTGCCTAAACTGACTACCTACTACCAGCCAGTCACCAGACAGCTGTGCCTAGACTGACTACCAGCCAGTCACCAGACAGCTGTGCCTAGACTGACTACCTACTACCAGCCAGTCACCAGACAGCTGTGCCTAGACTGACTACCAACTACCAGCCGGTCACCAGACAGCTGTGCCTAAACTGACTACCGACTACCAGCCAGCCACCAGACAGCTGTGCCCAGACTGACTACCAGCCAGTCACCAGACAGCTGTGCCTAAACTGACTACCGACTACCAGCCGGTCACCAGACAGCTGTGCCTAGACTGACTACCTACTACCAGCCAGTCACCAGACAGCTGTGCCTAAACTGACTACCGACTACCAGCCGGTCACCGACGTCACCTCTCTACCGCCAAATACTGACGTATCATATCCTGATTGGCCAAAATGTAAACTTTATCTAAATTACCCTACTGACATTAGTTCCACTTATCTAACCTATATACAAACATGATACAATAAAATATACTCAAACATAATATATTAACTACATAAAGTAATAAATAAAGTTAATAATTAAATGGTGAATCATTCAGTGTGGACGAGTAATGGGCGGAACTGCTCGAGCCAAAAACAGAAACTTATGGCGGACACTTGTAACATACAGTACATTATTTTTTCTCTCCCTAACTTGAAAGAAAAAGAGTACATACTGTATTGCTGAAATGTTATTTTTTTCAATAAAATACATCTCACTTTGTCATAATATATATTTATTCCATTTGCATAATGTAATATACTGTACAGTCACCCAAAAAAGTCCTGTCGCGAACCACGATTCAGACTCGTGAACCCGAAGCAGTAGACACTGATACATTATTCTGTCCATAAATGCTTCGGATTCAAGAGTCTGAATCTCGGGGTTCATGGTTCGTGACAGGACTTTTTTGGGTGACTGTACCTGTACACAGTATTAGCAGTTGAAAGGATTTTTTTTAGATAACAAGTACAGTATGTACTATAATTATCACCCATACAACACTGCACCTGCATAAACTATTCTTTTTAATCAGTGAGTGAGCGAGCCAGTCAGTCACTCATAATTTCTCCACATCAGGGATCTTGGTTTTTCTGTTAGTGAATCAATCAGTGATTCTTTTACTTACTTTTTTACTTTTATTTTCTTCACCACTGCTCGGCTTCTTAGCTGCTTGGGCGGTCGGTCATGTCCTGATACAGTATTCAGTGTGTAATTCTCTGTTAACAGATCCTTAAATCCAAGGGAAGCCCAGTGGTAGGACTCCATTGTTGGATCACTGTATCCTTGGGTATCCCTCGCTTAGCATTAATTTACTGAACGCTAATTCAGTTTAGCGATAAAAAAATTGACATTTCTCACTTACAATTAGGTCAAAATTCATTTTAGCGATAGCTTGACTCAATGGAAAGGGAAAAAAGGGGATGAGGTGGCCTTTGAGATGACAAGTTGCCATTCTTACTTTCATCTTTATCCTCTTCTCCACTGATCGGCTTTCACAGTCAATATTTTTGTTGGGCAGATCATATTCAGTAAAAAAATTTATTGATTGGTGAAGGCCAACTAGATTTTAAAAGACCTACCTATAATTTGTTTTCCTTTTTGGTTTTTGCATAATGTAAGCGGTATTGAATGTGAAAGCAGTATGCTGTTCATTTTGATATGATTTCATATTCTGCATTAAGGATATAGTGAAGGGAACACTCTCTGCAGGTAAACTTAAGCAGTACTGTACTGTAGCTCAGATCTTGGGACTGAATATCTAGGATGGAAATATGAAACTATTCAAATTGTTTTATGTACAGTAAATAACATTAAAACTAAATAATTTAATAATCACGTGAATCACATTACTATACAGTACAGTCGTAATCCTACGTTTTGCAGTTTTTATGGATCGTCAGTGAATGTAACAGCCTTGACCTATGCACCTCATTGGATGACCTCTGGTAGTGGCAGTAACACACAGTATGCTGGCATGGATTATCTCTTGCTTAAGACTATAGCTGATGCCCTCAATTTTACCATCCACGTGCTGCCATCTGCCTCCTGGAAAGAAGTATGTATTTATTTAGGTAATCCTTTTCACAAATGATCAACAATTCCCAGGTTGTACCTTATGCCTTCCCCAATACAGTGTTGCATTTTGTACACTTTATCAGTTGGCTTGTTTGTGTCAGCTAATAGCATATATTTCTAAAACAAATTATACAGTACCTCCAGTTAATACCAATTGAAGGATTTTTATAATAACCAGCTATTACCTGTGCTGTCATTCTTGTCATTCTTTTTCTTGCCATACATTTGATGGTTTAACTGTATGTACAGTAAGAATGATGAGTGCTCTGATCACTTGACACCTCTCATATTATTATGGATGGCGTCCAACAGAAATACCAGCATCATAGATATGCTGATTCATATGAATAAGTCAGGGAAGAACACTTTTCATATTTTTATTATTATTTTTTTTTTAATTTACCGTTTTGATAGGCTGGTGGCTTATTCATGCCCCCATTCTTCCTGCTGACTCTGTGTTAGTAAGAGGTACAGGCCTGATCAATGCAGTGTTTAGGACGATGCAAGTTGCCGTAAAGCATGAAGGCTGTTGCTGGTATTGGCCTGACTGCATAGTCAAGGTGAAAGAGGCGATTGCAAGCTATAGGGGAACGCGTTCCCTAAGGACGAAAATAGATGAAGCTGGATCCTTGCTGGTTGCCAAACTAGAACAAGTTGGGAAAGAGATCCTTGCTAGGACTTAGGAAGTAGCTGGGCCACGGGAGATGGCGGAGAGTAATGCAGGATCAGAACAGGTTCTACAGCAGCTAGGGACTCTGAAGAAGTGTGTCGAAGAAATGACAATTAGCGGACGTACTGTTAGGGGAGAAGAGGAACAACGGGAACGTTTCCAGCGTAGAAACAATGTAATAGTTTTTGGAGTCCCTGAGAACCAGGCGGAGGGAACTAAGACTAGGATAACACACGATAAGATGCAGTTTAAGAATATTTGTACAGAGGTTCTGAAGATGCCATCAACCCCTCAGGATGTGAGGAGGCTGGGACAAAACCAGGGGGATAAGCCTCTTCCCCTCAGGAACACACTAGTGAGTGAGGAGGAGAAATGGGAGGTTATTCGGCGGGCAAAAAACTTAGCAAGGAGCAAGGCATCACCCAGATCGTACGGTAATGCAGGGGGGACAGCACAAGAAGCTCCTGCAGGGCTTATATTCAGGGGTTATATTCAGGGGGAGGGTAGTGGAAGCAAGTGTGTCGACACAGAGCCAGGGGGCTCTACGAACAACTACTGTATAGACCGGTGAGCCTGACTAGCATAATATGTAAAGTACTTGAGAGTATTATCAGAGATGCCGCGATGGAACATCATCTACTACGAAACACCCTTGTAAAGGATTGCCAACACGGTTTTATGCCGGGGCGTTCACGTTTAACACAATTGCTCAAGGTATTGGATATTTGGACCCATATTCTGGAACGGGGTGGTAATATCGACAATATACACCTAGATTTTGCCGAGGCTTTCGACAGAGTACCCTACGAAAGGCTGAAAATCAAACTGGAAGGGTACGGAATTCGAGGAAATGTCCTAGCGTGGACAGAAGACTTTCTACATGACCGCAAGCAGTGTGTGGTGATTAATGGCACAAAATCATCATCTGTACCTGTCACAAGCGGAGTACCACAGGGCAGTGTATTGGGCCCGCTGTTGTTTGTTTGTTTCATAAATGACATGCCTGACGTTGTACACTCCTCCATACAAATGTTTGCCGATGACGCCAAGTTATTTCGGGAAATCAAGAACCATGCGGACTATGAAGAGCTGCAGAAGGATCTCTGTGAGCTCCAAGAATGGTCGATGAAATGGCTGTTGAGATTCAATGTCACGAAGTGTAAGAGGATGCACCTGGGGCGTACCAACGGTAAGGAGGCGTATCATATGTCCCAACGAGATGAAGAAACTGCACTATTTGAGACTGAATGTGATAAGGACCTAGGTGTGTTTGTTGACAATGAGCTCAAGTTCTCGGGCCATTGCGAGAAGAAGGTAAATCATGCAAAATAAATTGTTAGGTCTTATAAGAAGAGTGAAGTGCTTTCCCATCTGGAGTACTGTCACCCCGTCTGGTCCCCTCAACTACCCTGAGAGATTGGAGCGCCTGAACTTGCCTAGCTTATACTACAGACGGGCAAGGGGCGACCTAATTGAGGTGTATAAGCATTTCACGGGGCACTACTCAATCGAGTGTCCTTACTTGGAACTGGCGGACGCTCGCCCCACAAGGGGTCACAGCTCAAGATTGAAGAAGCCGCAGGTTCAGAAAACTGCGAGGGCAAACTATTTCGGAGCGAGAGGTGTGAACTCTTGGAACAATCTACCAGAAAGTGTTGTGACGGCACCGAGTGTGAGCTCTTTCAAGACCAGACTTGACCAACACTGGAGCAGGTTCAGGTACATTCAGGAGCCGGTGCATGCCCAGTACTTGCCAACAGTGCGTAACAGAGACGTGACCGATCGCCCAAGCGGCTAACAAGCCGATCAGTGGTGAAGAGGATAAAAGTAAAAGAATGAAGTTCTTGGGAAAAAATGCAAGTTTTTTAGGGTCACATTATGTAACACCCTTCCCTTATCTGATCTGGGATTAATCCGGGGATGCAGTGGTGAGAAGCGAGTATGCTACTGCTGTACTATCACCAGTTTTAATGGTTCTCAATACTCTTCTCACTCTGAAACAATTTAATTATTAGAGAGTTTTTGACTGCTGGAAACCTTCACTAAGTTTGAAAAGATTCCTTTGGGGATTTAAAACATATCTTTCATGACTTCAAAATCTGTATGTAATAACCTTATACAGTAATCACACAGTTTAAAACCTAACCAGTTGTCAAAGATGCAAATACAGAAAGGTGCAAAGTTTTGTTGCTCTACACCGGATCCTGGTGACAAATTTGGCAGGGTTATATGGACCGCTTAACGGAGAGGTATGGGTGAGTACTAGCAACTTATATAAAAATAAATTGGACATGATTATTGATGAATTCATGGTATGTAAATCAATACTGTATCTTGTAAAATCTTAACATCATATTCGCAGGTAACTGATCAAGTGGAGGCTCGGAGATCATTCGTGGCGAGTATCGTCTACGTAGTTCTTCCTTCTCGTATGGAGAAGTATGATTTTACGCAAATATTTGACTTTACTCCATTTTGCTTTGCTACCTCGAAGCCAGAATTGAAACCTCAGTGGCAGAGCCTCTACAAACCTTTCACCAAAGATGTGTGGGGTGCAAATCTAGTTGCTATTATACTTGTAACTGTGGCCTTTCACATGGTAAGATTGTTTAAATGAACTCTCATACCTCATGATATATATATATATATATATATATATATATATATATATATATATATATATATATATATATATATATATATATATATATATATATATATATATATATATATATATATATATATTACTGTACTCCTGAACGTGCTGATTAAGAATTTGTAATCCACAATTTGATACCTGAAAAATTAAGTGCCCAAATGACATATCAAAATTTAAATTATTTTTTAATCTTAATTACTCGCTGCCTATGGTTTTTCATGAGAAAAATCCACAACCTGCCTTTAACTGTGATCTCCTTAAACATTGTGAGATAAGAACTATCTGAAATAAGAATACAATATTAATTATGAAAGGTTTAGTGATCGTTACAAGAACATAACAGTGTGCCTAGATAGTGCAGGTATAAAACAGTAGTAAAGAGTAAGGCAGTTTGATCAGGGATAGCCTACAAAGATTTCAGATTAATTACTGATCTCTAAAATCTCTTAGTTACATCCATCAATTAAGTTTGTGTTTTTTCAAGTGATCAAATTAACATTATAGTACAGGTATGTCCAAATAAACAGCCTGATAGTATATTCATGGTCTTATTGTGAACTATTTCCCTTGTGTCATCACAGAAATAGTTTAATTTCATATATAATTAATTACCGTAAATAAAATATTTATATTTCTTTGTTGATAATCACAGATCACGCTATAACCTGAGGCATCTTTCAGATTACTCATCTAGACGTGTCAGGGGAGGTAAGAGGCAGGCTTGGTCCTGGTACTGTGCTGCAGGAGGTTATTGCAACACTGTTGGGGCAGAATCTCTCTGGACAGCTTCCAAGAAGCAGTTCCAACCGTTTGTTAATAGCTGCCTGGTTGATGTTTGCCTTTGTCATCAGTTCAGCTTACCGAAGTATTCTCACAGCATCTCTTACACTCCCAAACATTCCTTCGCGTCCTGAGTCCGTGCAGGAACTTGTTCCTCTTATAGACAGGTAAAAGTAAAAGATGTGTACAGTAAGTATTTATTGCAGTGGTGTAAACTAAATTTCACTATACTATCTTCTGACATATACCTGTACTAATTATAATAGTTGCACTGCTCACCCATCCATGCCAAATTAGACAGTGAATTCATTAGGTCATCAAGATCGTCTTGGTGATGTCACTGATGTGAATGTAACATTTTTGCTGTTATTCGCGATTAAAAATTTAAATATTTCCACTACTTGACTAGAGCTAAGCTGTGTGGTTACAACTATAAAATCAATGCCACATGCTAAGATTTATACAGAAAATATAAATTAGTCTTGTCCATGGCTACAACTGACAATGATGGGTGGGGATAACAGTAGCAGTGTAACAGAGATACATCCTGAACATTCCACCTGAACTGTATGGTACAGTACCTACAACTTACACTAATTTCATCTGAATCCTTACCAAATATTCATGCCACTTTTAAATAATGTGATATTTTTTTTTAACCTAAATTGCATTGCAAAAATATCCCACTTATTTTTGACATTGTGTTTTAAAAGAATATACCGTATACTAAACAGAGCAGCACACTTGTGAGTCTCCCTGACAACTGACCGTGCAGGAGCAGCGTGTCTCATAAAGAAATCAGTGATTCGTCTTCTTTGTTTTAGCACAGATTTGGGATCTATTTTAATGAACATTTTTAGAAATTGGTGGTTTTAGGAAAATTCCAGTTTGTGGGTTTTTAGACTTGGGACTTTGTACTGTATTATATCATTAGATGGGGATATATGGTACCAGTGTTGATTATATATACTGTACAGGTATATGTTTTTATTCTCCAGGGCAACAATAGAATCATATGGAGTGAGTCACAAGAAATTTTTAACACAGTCAGAGTCAAGTGTCTTCAGATCTCTCGGAGAGTTGATGGTCACTGGAGTGGATGCCATTGATGGACTGAAGGAGTCTCTGAAAAATAAGTGAGTTACCTTTTTAATTTCATATTATAAACAGGTTTTTTCCTGGTGGTTAATACTTAGTTAAAATTTATCCTGTGCTTGTAGTGCTGAGTTAAATAACACCAGAAATATATATTAAGTCCTGTTATGATACTAAGATAACCGTTGTGAAAAATTGTATAGTACCTGTACTGTATTGTGCAAATCTGAAGGTTACTGAACTTCTTTTTATCTTTGTGGTTTGTTTCTTTCTGCTTAGGTATGCTCACTTAGGTGGTGCTCAGTACCTCGAACTTGTGATTGCTAAACACTTCACACAAATAGATGGATCATCACAAGTATATATTGGGAAAGAAACAATAGTTTCCTCAGTAGCAGCCTGGCCAATCCCCCATGATGCTCCCTATAAACCTTTTCTTGACCGTTGCATAAAGGCAGTCACAGAGGTAAGTGTAAATTCACTACAGATTGCTTTGATATAAGAATTCATTGTGTTAAATAACAAATTCATAATGGTGTAAAAGTTCATCCAGACAACCAGTCCATTGTTTAAACGTTCTTTTAGGCTGGAATCTATGAAAAATGGAGGAGAGACACAGTGAGACAAGAGGCTATTCGTGCAAACCAGCGGAAGTTTCTAAAACTACAGGAACAGGGTCTTGAAGCGTCTAAAGACAGTGTCACATACAGTAACAGCAGGAAGGCTCTCACCTTACAACATATGCTGGGACTGTATGCTATCTTCGTGATAGGTCTTGTCATTGCTGGAGTCGCCTTTTTAACAGAAATATTAATTAGGAAGTATTCTGCACCATCTAAAAGGTGTTGGTGTTAAGAAACGTACCCACAATAGTGTTGATGAAAAGTCCAGTACAGTATTAGTTAAGTAGAAAAGAGAAATTCATTGTTAATAAAAGAATCAATTAATATGGTTATATTAGTAATAACAATAATCATCTGTGAGGTCCTGTTCTATGATGCCGTCGTCCTGATCGTCATCGCCTACAGCCCAATAAGTACAGGGGTATACGTCTACTTGGCAGTTCGTCGTTTCACTTTTCTCTATAAATGTATTTTTTCTTGTCTCTGTCTTATTTTTGGGAAGATAAATTAGTAACCCCCCTCCCCCCATTCAACTCCTGGCGTCATGACAAACCAGGTTGCAGTCATGCAGGATGATCATAGTCGTCATAAATTCACTGGTGAGGACCCACGGGAGTCTGTTTTTTATTTCTCAGAAGATGTAGAACTTACTATTGGAGTTAGGAATATTGCCTCGGACTTAAATAAGATATTCTATTTGAAGAGTCGCCTTAATGTGGGTGACAGTAAGATTAGTCAATACTGTATATTCAAACATTACTTTGTCAAATTTACCAAGTACGATGAGTTTTGCCAGGAATTCATTGATAGTTTCTCAAAGGACCCTCAGATTGAATCATTAGTAGATTAACTCGATTTGCTGATACAATGAAGTCCAGAGTCATTGTTCCTCCCTCTTCAAATATCATATTCAGCGACCACTGTCACCACGGCTACCATTTCAGACTTGCGTAATACCGTGGTGACTTCTGAGAGGACAAATACTGATCAAACCAATATGTCTCTTGATAATGTGTTTCAGCTTTTTGGCTATGTGCATTTTGTCCCTTGCCTAGGTCTGAAACAGTTGACAGTTACTTTTATCCTTTTTGCCACTGATCTGCTCATTAGCCGCTTGGTCGGATGGTCACGTCTCTGTTACACACTGTTGGCAAGTACTGGGTATGCACTGGCTCATGAATGTATCTGTACATGCTCCAGTGTGGGTCAAGTCTGGTTTTGAAAGAGCTCACACTCGGTGCCTTCACAACACTCTCTGGTAGACCGTTCCAAGAGTTCACAACTCTCACTCCGAAAAAGTTTGCCATCACAGTTTTCTGGACTTGTTGCTTCTTCAATCTTGAGCTCACGATTGCAATATCTATTTTTTTTAATGAAAAATAGTTATGCTAAGGTAATGCAATTACAGGATGTCATTAGTGAGTATAAAGGATAAGTGGAATGATTAAGTCAGAATGTTACAAAATGCATTGGCTTCTGGGGCTGGGGGAGCTACCACTCACTCCAAACTCTCTAGCATAATGGGTCTCACTGTTGGCGCTCTCCAATTTATGTAACCATCTGAATTTCCACCTTAATAATTAAGAGGATCAGTTGTTAAGAAATTGCCATCACACCCCTAGTTACATGCCACTTGGATGATTCCCAAATACTATACCTGTAGAGGATTCCCAGATACTGTACTTGTGGAGGATTCCCAAATACTGTACCTGTAGAGGATTCCCAGATACTGTACCTGTAGAGGATTCCCAGATACTGTACCTGTAGAGGATTCCCAGATACTGTACCTGTAGAGGATTCCCAAATACTATACCTGTAGAGGATTCCCAGATACTGTACCTGTAGAGGATTCCCAATACTGTACCTGTAGAGGATTCCCAAATACTGTACCTGTAGAGGATTCCCAGATACTGTACCTGCAGAGGATTCCCAGATACTGTACCTGCAGAGGATTCCCAATACTGTACCTGTAGAGGATTCCCAGATACTGTACCTGCAGAGGATTCCCAAATACTGTACCTGTAGAGGATTCCTAGATACTGCACCTGTAGAGGATTCCCAAATACTGTACCTGTAGAGGATTCCCAGATACTGTACCTGTAGAGGATTCCCAGATACTGCACCTGTAGAGGATTCCCAGATACTGCACCTGTAGAGGATTCCCAGATACTGCACCTGTAGAGGATTCCCAGATACTGTACCTGTAGAGGATTCCCAGATACTGTACCTGTAGAGGATTCCCAGATACTGTACCTGTAGAGGATTCCCAAATACTATACCTGTAGAGGATTCCCAGATACTGTACCTGCAAAGGATTCCCAAATACTGTACCTGTAGAGGATTCCTAAATACTGCACCTGTAGAGGATTCCCAAATACTGTACCTGTAGAGGATTCCCAGATACTGCACCTGTAGAGGATTCCCAGATACTGCACCTGTAGAGGATTCCCAGATACTGTACCTGTAGAGGATTCCCAGATACTGTACCTGTATGCATAATTTAAGAATATAAACTAAACTAGACCAGAATTCAGATTAAAACCACAAAAGAAATTATCCAGTTTCAGTACACAGAAAAAACACTAATCTAGTATTGCTTCTGCGGATGTGAGAAATCTGACACCCAATCCATCACTAATAAATTTATACTGTACTAGTATTTATATGCACTCATTTGAAACTCTTTGGAAGCTATTCTAGAATCTCAATAAATTTCATATGACACATTTATAATTTTTTTTCATTAATCCAGGTTTCAGAACAAAGTTTTTCTCAAAACAATTTATACTTACAGTACTTTATAGGATTGCTTATCAAAGGCAATGAACTTAAGTTCTCGGGTCATTGTGAGAAGAAGGTGCATCAGGCAACGAAACTAGTAGGTCTTATAAGAAGGTCGTTTAGAAATCTGGATGGTCCGTCGCTCGTCGTGATCTTCAAGAGTGAAGTGCTTCCCCGTCTGGTCCCCGAGGTATGCTAGAGACTGTCAATTGATTGAAAATGTCCAAAGGAGGGCCACCAGACTGGTGCCTGCTTTATGGAATCTCAGTTACCCAGAGAGATTAGAACGCCTGCTATTGCCTAGCTTATACAATACTACAGACGGGCAAGGGGTGACCTAATACGAAGTGTATAGACATCTCAGGGGGCACTACTCGGTCGAATGTACCTGGAGCTGGTGGACGTCTGCCCACAGATACGTCCCTGTTACACGCTGTTGGCAAGTACAGTACTGGGCATGCACTGGCTCCTGAATGAGTCTGTCCTCGACTTACGACAACCCGGACTTACGACGGTCATTGTTGTTATATTATATTAAAATATTTTTCATTATTTTCGAGTTCAAACGTTTGGTCGTAATGTCTAGCGACGCCGTACGACAACTTCGGCTGGCACTCTGCCGCGTGTGTACGGCATCCACGTTGTATCCCGCTCAGTTTGTGTATTAAAAAGGTAAACGTCTTACAATTATTACAGTATTACGTATTATTTTCGTCGGTCTTGAAACAGCTCACACTCGGTTGCATCACAACACTCTGGCAGATTGTTCCACGAATTAACAATTCTCACTCTGAAAAAGTTTGTCCTCACAGTTTTCTGGACTTGTGGCTTCTTCAACCTTGGGCTAAGACCCCTTGTGGGGCGGACGTCTGTCAGCTCCAGGTATGGACACTCGACTGAGTAGTGCCCTCTGAGATGTTTAAACATTTCAATTTGGTCACCCCTTGCCTGTCTGTTGTATAAGCTAGTCAGTTGCAGGAACTGGTGTGGTTGTACTACAGTATTGTCATGGATAAAGTTAAGTAAGGTTAGGTAGGTAAAGATTGCGTAGATGAAGTTAAGTCAGGTCAGGTATCGTTAGGTTTCATTACATTTTTTTTTTTTTTTTACCACACAATTTGTCTCTATTTCAAAGCCCTGTCCACTTTGTGTAAAACAAATGTACCTTTTTTACGTGAAATCGAGACGTCAAAATAACTCTAAATACATAATTTTGGGACGAAGTGTTAAAAAGTATTTATTTTTTACTCTATCTTTATAAAAATCAAAGAAACTTCGTGATTGTATTCTACTGAATCGTAACCCTTTACAGAACAGTACTGTACAGTACTTATTTATTATAACTTGTAGTTATCTTGAAAAATTCTATCAATCCTTATGAAGATAAAGTATGACTTGTTTCTGTTTTTTATATACATGACAATTTCAAACTTTGTCCACTGTTGGAGCCTAATCTTAAAACTAGTCTTAAATTTCCAGCAATATATCGGTTACTGTGTAGTTTTGAAGCAGTGGTGTGTTTTTTTGCAAACGTTGTTCATCAATAAACTGCCGAGCACAATATAAGATATGGAAAAGTGGTCTCACTGCTAACTGTTGCCAACTTGTAAATACCGTGATGTTCTTTATATCCCTGCTAAAATAGTCGCATGTTTAAAAAAATACAATAATGTGTATTGGTTAACTGTCTGCTATATTTGTGTTCATATTAAATGGTGTTCATACTGTACTATAGCTACCACCATCCCTGGATATCTAAAGTTGGATGTAAATAATCCACTGACAATATATAAATTGTTTTCATTGAATAATATGGTGTAATAGCACAATATCATATAAGGCTCAATGGGATTAATGTGTTTTGAACGTCACGGCCGCTTGGTGGCGCCACCGTCTCGGAAGGCAAAAAAAAAAATAATAAAATAAATTATCATTGATGCTCCATCCTCCTATAATGCCAGAATCCTTGCTTTTATTCATACATAATCATTCATAGTACTGTATGTAATATTTGGTAAATTGTAAAACAGGGCTAAACTAGTGAACTGGTGCACGGTGATTGGTGAGTCAAGGAAATAGACAGTGAATTGGAACAGGTAAAGAAAACACGCAACTGAGAGATAAGTGACCTCTGGGGAGGCTGAAAGCGGGAAGTTGGGTGGCAAAAGAGACTGGATGATGACGTGATGATGCTGGGAGGTGACCTAGTGAGACTAGGCGGAGGGGAGGCTGAGATAACTTAGTGAGGCTGGGCGGCAGGATAGGTCGAGAGATAATCTAGTGAGGCTGGAAGATGACCTGGGAGGTGACCTAGTGAGGCTGGGAGACGACCTAGGGAGGCTGGGCGGCAGGAGAGGCAGCCGCAGGTAGTATCAGTGTGGGTTCGGGCGGCGCGGGGGGTGCACGTGTCCGCTCTCTGGCCAGGCTGGTCCACGCGCCACACACGTCCTCGTCTGGAGGTGCCTCAAAGGTGTGTTGTGCCCAGCCGCTGCTACCCCGGGAGTCTACCTCACTGCGTCTGAGAAGGAATAAATTGTGAGGTGGTTCCTTATTATGGAAATTAATGTCAGAAAAGATGTCTTGTTGAGAACAGGTGATGACGTGATCGCCACGTGTTAGTGAGTCACCCATAGCAGCAGGAAGATGCGTTCGTGAAGCGTCTGCGTTTCTGCAGTTTCTTGTGGTGATGGTCAATAGGTGAAATAAAAGTAGAGAAGATACCAGTGAGGTTGGTTGTTATAGGTGTTTATATCACAGCAGTGTTGGCGTTAGTAGTTGACCGAGGTGAGGCGTTGTGTCACACGTGTCTGTGGGGTGTGGGTGCGGTGCCCATGGTAGGTAACACCCTCGCCAGGCAGCAGGGGGCCGCCCTCTTCTAGGAACAATGGAGGGCGTGTGTCACGGTGCAGGAGAGGGCGTGCTGCCCCACGAGCCCATCCCTGCACCCCCGATGTTCAGTGGGGAGTCACCAGGCGTGGCGGACAACACCTCGGAGGAGGAGTCACTCTATGGTGGCTTGCTGGAGAGGTTGAGGGGGGAGCCTGAGGAGGAGGCCTGGCCTGCCGGTCTACCTCGCAGCCAGAGCTACACGGAGGGAAGCCTGCAGCTAGCAGCCACGCCCTCCCTCACCCACGCCCAGAGCCACAACGCTCTCTTGGAGGACCCAAGTCCCCAGGCGGATCCCCAAGGCTCACACTCCTGCCTTCATGTCCTTCATACAGTGGTGGCCTGCCAGCAGGAGCAGATAGGAGTCCTGCAGTCAACGCTACGGGATTTGGCTGCAACATACACCAGGAGAGAGAGATCCTTAGTGGCCAAGCTCTCGGCCCTCCAGCAAGAGACTAGACAGAGGGACACCAGGCTTCAGCCACATAAGGTAGGTCCTGCCATGTTCCACTACCATAAGGTACAGTAGGTCCTGCCATGTTCCACTACCATCAGGTAGGTCCTGCCATGTTCTACTACTACCAGGTACGTCCTGCCATGTTCCACTACCATAAGGTAGGTCCTGCCATGTTCTAATACCATAAGGTACAGTAGGTCCTGCCATGTTCCACTACCACCAGGTAGGTCCTGCCATGTTCCACTACCATAAGGTAGGTCCTGCCATGTTCCACTACCATAAGGTACAGTAGGTCCTGCCATGTTCCACTACCATCAGGTAGGTTCTGCCATGTTCCACTACCACCAGGTAGGTCCTGCCATGTTCCACTACCATAAGGTAGGTCCCGGTTGTTCCACTACCATAAGGTACAGTAGGTCCAAGCAATATTCCACTACCATTCAGGTAGGTCCTGCCATGTTCTACTAACACCAGGTAGGTCCTGCCATGTTCCACTACCACATAAGGTACAGTAGGTCCTGCCATGTTCCACCATATACAGTAGGTCCTTACATGTTCCACTACCACTGCAGGTCCCGCTGTATGTTCTACTACCATAAGGTAGGTCCTGCCATGTTCCACCACCATAAGGCACAGTAGGTCCTGCCATGTTCCACCATAAGGCAGGGTCCCCACAAATTCCACTACCATCAGGTAGGTCCTGCCATGTTCCACTCACATCAGGTAGGTCCCGCCATGTTCCACTCACCATTAGATAGGTCCTGCTGTTCCACTACCATGAGGTAGGTCCTGCCATGTTCCACTCACACCAGGTAGGTCCTGCCATGTTCCACTACCAC